TCCTGACCTCAAGGAACTTATTATCTAATAGACAAGTGTCAAAATAAGCACAGTGTGAATAGAAGGGAATGACTATATTTTATAATCCAAATGACTTTCACAATACAACTCAAATATGTTCTTTCTGTAGCTTTCCCTGAACATGGTTTAACAACTACCAGACTTAACTGCATTATTTTTTTTTAAAGATTTTATTTATTTGACAGAGAGAGAGAGTGAGAGAGCACAAGAAGGGGGAGAGGCAGAGGGAGAGGGAGAAGCAGGCTCCCTGTTGAGCAGGGAGCGGGGCTCAATCCCAGGACCCTGGGATCATGACCTGAGCCGAAAGCAGACGCTTAACCGACTGAGCTACCCAGGCGCCCCAAATTACTGCATTATTAGCCTTTGCACAGCATTTCATACCTCACTCTATTTTGTACCAATCAATCTTTTTTATAGGTATTTGTTTATATGTCAGTTTTCTCTATTAGACTATGAGCTCTTCATGGGCAGGGGTTGTGTTTTATATATCCTCTTTATAGCCTGGCACATGGTAGGAACTCATAAATATTTAATCAAATTGAGCTAATATAGTATTGTACAAAATGTATAAAAATGAGAGAACTGAAAAATAGTACACAGGTGCTAACTTTACAAACTAGTAATGAACAGGAAACACAGAGACAGACAGAGAGAGAGAGAGAGAGAGAGAGAGAGAGAGAGAGAGGTGTCAGTTCTGAAAATGTATGTAGGATCTCAGCAGAAACAAGGAAGGAGAATATCCTGGAAGTAGAATTGGTGTGGTCAAAGTAGAGTTACCAGACTTTCTGCGTCTGCATCTTTCTAACTCCAGTAGCTAGAGGGGAAGACAATTTTGTAAACAAGCACTTAAGATTCTTATTAATGGGCCACGAATTTTATACTCTTAAGAGCAATCTATGATTCTTCCTTTCCTTTCATCTTTCCTAACCTGGCAAGTACAGTACCGTCAGCTCTTCATTTACCATATTTCTTGGCTATGCAGTTTGTTGGAACTGTTGCATAGTTGGATAAGACATGCTGAAGCCTCGACTGCTGGGTCACAGAGCCTACCAGACCTGTAGGACTTTACTTGGTGACACTAGGCTACCCAAAGGCTTATGCTAGACTGGTGAAACAAGTAAGACTGGGTTTCTTAAACATTGTCTGCTAGAATTGGTCCTAGAATGGAGTAGGATGGAGAATGCAAGAGGGAGTCAGTGAGAGCAGAAGCTCCTGGAGATCAGGGACAGTGGGTTAGAGGTTAGGAACACAGGCATGTGGAGTTATACTACCCAGATTAGAAACCTGGTTCCATTATTTGTTAGTTGTGTGACATTAAGGAAGTTATTTAAACTCCCTGCACTTCACATTGGAAGACAGGGATAATAATACAGCCTTATAAGACTGTTGTTAAGAATTCAGTGAGTTAGTATGTGTAATTTTGTGTAGCGCCTAGCACACTGTAAGTACTCATGAAATCTTGGCTATTGTTGGGGTTAATATTTTCTAAGTTATCATTAGCATTTTTGGGGAATAAGAGGAGAAAGAACACTTAGAGAGATTAAAATAAATTCAGAGAGGCTATAGAGAACTGGTAGAGTTTAGTGGAAACCAAAGAGAAGAGATAATTAAAAAGATATGTGGGGAAAAAAGGTATATGATGTAAACAAGGATAAGAACACAAAATTCCATACAGAAATAAAATACTTTAGTGTAATAACCTCTCTATTAACTTTGTCTGCATATTTAAAAAAATAAAATAAAATAAAATAAAATAAAATAAATAACCCTGGGCACCACATAATTCAACGAGAATGCTCTGAGCTAATGTTTCTTGGGAGATCCTTACTGGTGTCACTCAGTAAAGATTATAGTGCTATGTAAATGTGAGATTTGTTTTCAGCTCCCAATTCAAGCTGGAAATGACTTTTCCCACAAAAAGGGAATTTAAAATTTTCCCTCACCCCTCCTTCCTTGGGACCACAACATTAAGAGAAAATACAGCTTTGAGTCAAAGAACACTGATCCCACAGGGAGAGTGTGGCCAGCAGGGAGACCAATGATGGAGAGCGCGGCTGGAGGACAAGGCAGAAAGCTACAGCGAGTGCGGCTGTCCCTGGGGTTGGCAAGCAAAGCTGGATTAGTTTATTCAGCCCTGAAGAGAGACACAGACCTCCTCTCATGCAAGAACAATGTGACAGCCCGGAAGAGACTTCAGGCTGCACCAGAACTAGTCCCTTAGCCACACTGGCAATCCCTGGTTTACTCCTATTGTCTTGGCCTGATGATGAATACTTCTTTAATTTAATTAAGACAATAAATTATGTGGTCACGTTAGACGGGTGGCATTAGTTCCTAAGGAGGAAAGGGAAACATTTTAGTCATGTGACTTTAAAAATAAATTGTTTATTGTTTTCATTATAGTGAGTTCAATCACTCTTAATTTTTTTTTTTTTTAAAGTAAGCTCTAGGCTTGAACTTAAGACCCTGAGATCAGGAGTTGCATGCCCTATTGACTGAGCCAGCCAGGTGCCCCCACTCTTAAATCTTTTAGAAATTCCTAAATTCAAGATTTTTTTTTTTTTTTTAATATATAGATACCTAGACTGAGTGGACCTTATAGAATCAACATTCTGGTGCCACAGTGAACGACATTAGCAGAACAATGCTCTGTTAATGATTGCTGACCCACCCTACAGAATTGTCTTAACAGGATTAATTTATATCTGAGTGTGATCATAACCTAACAGTACAATTTAAAAATTCATCTGTTGGGCGGGTGGCTCAGCCAGTTAAGCATCTGCTTGCGGCTCAGGTCATGATCCCAGGGTCCTGGGATTGAGCCCTGCATCAGGCTCCCTGCTCAGCGGGGAGTTTGCTTCTCCCTCTCCCTTTGCCCCTCCCCCTGCTTGTGTGCTCTCTCAAATAAGTAAATAAAATGTTTAAAAAAATAAATAAAAATTCATCTGTTATAAACTATGAAGTATATTTAAAATAATTTTGTTTAGAAAGTTAAAATGTGATGATGGGTCAGCATCCATGGCATCATTCCTCTGTTCAGAAACATTTTATAGCTTCCCCACTGCCTATGAGCTTAATTATAATGCCTCAGCTTGGGATCAAAGGCTCTGTGGGTATAGTCCAAGTTAACTGTTTTTATCTCAAACTTCCACTATATCTTTTTACCTCAAAGAAACACGTGATTTGTTCTTGTTATTCTTTTTACCTCAACATTTCCTGATTTTGTTTGGAGAGGGGCAATATGAATAGTTAAAAACACTCCCCCTTCCTAGACTGCCTGTAGCCTGGGTGGCAATTTGCAAAAGTTCTGGCCAATGAGTTGTAACAGAATTCTACAGAGGAGTATCTGGAAAGTTTTCCTTTTCTCCTTCCCTCAATCCCTTCTTCCTGCTGGATTGCAGACTGGTACTTGGAACTGCAACCACCATCTTGTGATCATGAGGCAACAAGTATGAGGGAAAGTCTCAAAAGTTACAAAAACGTGACCTTGACATTCTAGAACCACTGAATTGGTATCAGCAGCTGTTTACCTTCAGATTTCTTGTTCTATTTAAAATATAAAGCTTTATTTATCAAAGGTTCTATCAATCAAGTTTCCTTTTGTATGCACCTGAATGAATTATGTCCTAACTGATATATCTTCTCTCCAGGTTTCTAGATTGATCACGTTACCTTCCCTTTCAATTTTCTCATTTGCTTTCAAACAGACGTAGTATCTCTGTCTTCTATGAGCCCCATAGCATTCTGTGCTTGTTTTTACGCTTAGAATATTTTGTCTTGAATTGATTTTTGCATATTTGCTTAATCTCTTCTACTGTGTTCACTTTTCTGGTGCAAGAATAGTGTTTTACTTATTTGCTTTATACACAGCAGGCTTCTAAATATTTTTCTGAACTGATTTAGACTAATTATATTACACTACAGTACGCATGTTTACAAACAATTCTATATGATATGAATGATGTAAAGCTTGTGCTGCCCTACAGATATCTCTCACAGTGTAGAACCAAGCATCATTATATGTGACTGCTAGCTGAATTAAAAACGCTTCTTTCTGCTGTTTCCTTCTGGAACATGTATGTAAGTCTGAAGTCTTATTTCTAGCCCTGTCTCCAATTGTCCTAGGGTACAAAGCCAAATTGAAAACAGAATAAAACACCCAAAACTAAATATGTGAGTTTGAATTTTTATAGAAATACAAGTCACTAAGCTGGTTAATTCCAAGTGTTAGTATTGAGCCAGGATGCACTGACATCTACAGGTTCCATCCCGAAAACTTAACCACAGGTTAATAAAGGTATGCTCATGCTGTGCATTTTTTGATACATCAGTTAATTAATACCTCACAAATATTCAATTTGCGAAGGTTTGAGCTCCTCAGGATAAACTAATTATATTTTAATTGCGTACTTACAATCCCTAACAAAGAGGGATTCATTCAGTCCAACATTAACACTTTGCATTTAATGAAATAAGAGTACCATAGAGTTTTTTCCTGAACAATTTTGTTACTAAACTCTATAAAGGTTTTTATAAGACAGTTTACTATGCAGTGTATGGAAGAGTACTTTAGGAGAGCCTTCATTTAAAACTCAAGGGCAGTGGATTTAAATATTTTTTAGTTGTCCAACCCTTACTTCATATAAAATATATGAAAAAGAGTTGAACCTGGGGTGAATATACTCAATTTAAGTCTGTCCCTTGCCTTTTGCTTCCCTCTCACTCACAATCCAAATCTGCAATTCCAGAGGCACCTCTTAGTACCACAAGGGCCATAGCATTTTGAAAACCAATGCTATAGGGAATACACATTTTAAAAACCTAAGATGCAAATATAAAATACTTTCATAAATACCATTTTGGCAAAAAAGGATTCTTGGCAGTTTCAAAACATAATATACCTAACTCAGCGCCTTCTGAAGAATAGGGAACCAATAAATGCTAAATTTTGTTAATGATGTTGTAAGAATAAAAAGTACCTTGGAGACTTCTTGTTTCTGGTCTTGAATAAAAGGAGCTTGGAAGTCATCAGTCTTACCCCCCTAACAAGAAAAAAAGCTGAATAAATGGAACCTATTGGAGCAGTGAGGTCACAGGGCAAGCCGTTGCCCAGAAATCTATAGAAATGATAGGCAGATACAGAGAATCACAACTTATTAGAGCAGAAGACTGAGAATAAAAATCTCCACAGGAACCAGTACTAGAGGAAAACAAACAAACAAACAAACTAAACTGTAAATGACAAATTGCTAGAAGCTCATTGTGGACGAGTTCTAAGATTACAAAAATCCAAGGGGTGCCAAATCTTAGGTATAGAAAGCCTCAATATCATCAAGATTTCAGTTCTTTGAACTTGAAGTAAAGATTCAACGCAATCCCAATAAAAATCTCAGCAAGTTATTTATGGATATTGACCAAATGATAAAAAGTTTATATGGTAAGGCAAAAGATCTAGAATAGTCAACACAATATTGAAGAAGAACAAAGTTGGAGGAATGACACTATTTATTATGGGCTGAACTGTATTCCCCCCAAATTCATATGTTGGAGATCTAACCCCCATCTAAACTCCTAATACCTCAAAATGTAACCACATTTGGAGACAGAGTTTTTAAAGAGGTAACTAAGTTAAAATGAGCTTTTAGGGTGAGCCCTAATCCATTATGACTGGCACCCTTATAAAAAGAAGAAATTTAGGGCACCTGGGTGGCTCAGTTAGTTAAGCGACTGCCTTCGGCTCAGGTCATGAGCCTGGAGTCCCAGGATCAAGTCCTGTATCAGGCTCCCCGATCAGTGGGGAGTCTGCTTCTCCCTCTGACCTTCCCCCCTTCTCATTTTCTCTCTCTTTCTCTCTCATTCTCTCTCTCTCAAATAAATAAAAATCTTAAAAAAAAAAACACTTAAAAAAAAAAAAGAAGAAATTTGGACACAGACATACACAGAAGGAAGACCATGTAATGACACAGGGAGAAGAATGGCAAACTATAAGCTGAGGAGAAAGGCCTCAGAAGAAACCATCTCTGCCGACACCTTGATCTTGGATTTCTGGCCTCCAGAACTGTGAGAAAATAAAATTTCTGTTGTTTAAGCCACCCAGTCTCTGGTATTTGTTAGGCAGCTCTAGCAAACTACCTTAATTCAAGACTTACTCTATAGGTACACTAATCAAGACAGTGTGGTACTGATGAAAGAAAAGACCAGTAGATAAATAGAACAGTATACAGAGCCTAGAAATAGACCCACACAAATGTAGTCAACTGATCTTTGACAGAAGGGCAAAGGCAATTCAATGGAGAAAGGATAGTCTTTTCAACAAATGGTACTTAAACAAATGGACATCCACAAGCAAAAGAATGAATCTAGACACAGACCTTACACCTTTCACAAAAAGTAACTCAAAGTGAACAAAAGACCTAAAATGCAAAGCTATAAAATGCTGGAAGATAATATAGGAGAAAATTTAGGTCATCTTGGGTTTGACAATGACTTATTATATATAACATCAAAAGCATGATCCTGAAAGAAAAAAATGGTAACTTGGATTTCATTAAAATTAAATACTTCTGTTCTGTGAAAGATACTGTTAAGAGAATGCAGACAAGCTGCAGCCTGGGAGAAAATCTTTGTAAAACACCTATCTGATGAAGGACTGGTATCAAAAATTTAGAAAACACTCCTAAAATTCAACAACAAGAAAACTTACACTCTAATTAAAAGCAAAAGATCTAAACAGTCACCTCACCAAAGAAGACATACGATGGCAAATAAACACATAAAAAGATGTTCAACATTATATGTTATCAGGGCACTACAAATTAAAATGAGATACTACTACACACCTACTAGAATGGCTCAAATCCAAAACACTGACAACCAAATGCTGGTGAGGATGTTGAGCAACAGAAACCTTCATTCATTGCTGGTGGAAATGCAAAATGGTATGGCCACTTTGGAAGGCAGTTGGGCAATTTCTTACAAAACTAAACATTTTTTTTCCATAAAACCCAGCATTTGTACTCCTTGGAATTTACACAAATTGAGTTGAAAACTTATATCCACACAAAAACCTGCACACAAATTTTTATAGCGGCTTTATTCAAAACCGCTAAAACTTGGAAGCAATCAAAATATCCTTCAATAGGTCTGAATGGATAAACAAACAGTGGTACAGCCATACGATGGAATATTATTTAGTGATAAAAATAAATAAGCTATCAAGTCACAAAAAGACATGGAGGAAACTTAAAGATCTATTTTTGCAGATTATAATGGAAGTAGACATTTTTAGGAAAACTAGTCCACTGTAAGAAAAAGGGAGTATATTCTAAATTTTAATGTGCTACTTAATATAAAGCAGAGATCTTAAAACTGCAAAATGCATGCCCTTTACAAAGACTTTGTAATGGGTATGGGGGTATGGATAGTTTTAAAGGAATTCAATTTTGAGATCTTCAATTTTCATAGTTATTCTCTCCTAAAGTTGACCTACTTGAAAGTGTACCTATAGTCTGCAGGTTCTCCTTTTCCATTTGATTGAACTTGGCAGACAGAAGTCATAGCTTTCACTCTCCCTGAATCTTGGTGTGGGGCATTGCTCCCAAGGAAGAGTCCCATGACTGCAGAACAACACCAAACTAATGGGGGCTTGCACCTTGTTTCATAATTAGCAGGGAACAAACACATGGCAATGAAAGCGAGAAGACTATCCTAGAAACATGTTTTTTGGAATTAAAAAATGAAGTCAGTCTTTCTTCTCATTAATTTGACAATGATTGCCAATTATGCTATATTATGAACTTTTTCTATAAATTAAGCTAAATCCTTATTTCATGGTTTTGATAAAAATATATTTAAAGCCTACATCTCATAGATCAGAAATGATATCCTTTGTCACTATTTACACTTAAAATGAAAAATGTCAACTTAAAAATGTGTGATAAGGTACATGGTTTTAAAAAATTATTTTAGAGAATACTCAAACAAAAAACATGAACAATATGATCCCTACCATGCCACTTAATAATACCTCACTTTTTATACCTCTACTTCTGTTTCCTTTGTTCTTGAGCAAATTCATGTTACTCAATGCCCCACTTACATAATTTCAGTCTCCTGCATTCTCTCCAAGTCTTCTTCAAGAAAATACCAGATACTATGAATACCCTCTCCCTTCAATCTGAAAGCAATATTTCTATCACTTGAAATTATAAAGCCATAAAGCCAGTATTTATCTCTAAATATATAGTTACTTAAAAAGAAGGGATGGAAAAAACAAAGGGATGGCATTAAGCAAGTCAGTAGCCAGTTAATTTCACAGTTGATAACAGCAGAATTCTTTTAGTCACTCTTGTTTAGTAAATATAAATAAAAAAATTGATGTTGCATAAAACTAAAGGTGGCTATAATTCAAAAGTTATAAAGAGAGTCGGCCTTTGGAGTCTGTTATGGGTTGAAATGCAGCTTAGCCATTCACTCGAAATGTGACCCTGGGCAAGTGACTTAACCTTTCCAAGCCCTGTCATCTGACTTTAGGACTAGTTGTGGGGATTAAATGGCAGAATACAGGTAATGTGCTTGGGGTATTGTCTGCCACTATTCAGTACTCAGTAAATGACAGCAATAAGTGATCTCATTATTGTTATTACTACTAATACTAGCTCCCAAATTCATTCATGCTTGTACATAACTTAAATAGGGAAGGGGAGGAAAATGAGATAGTCTCAGGTAAACTGAGACAAACATCAATTTAAAAGTGTTTTTTGAGCACTTTACCATGTGACTGTTCTAAACAGAACAGAGAAAAATCCTTATTCTTGTGAAGCTCACATCCTAGAGAAGAAGATGGAAAATGAACATAATAAATGGGGAAATGATATAACATGTTAGAAGGTGGTAAGTGCTATGGAAAATCGAGAGCAGATCAAGAGTAACTAGAACGGCAGAATGGTGGTAAACTGCTACTTTGAAATGGATGGTCGGGAAAAGCTTCATTAAGAAGGTGATATTTCAACAAATATTTGATGGAGAGGAAGTTAGCTATGAAAAGATCTGAGAGAGGAACATTTCAAGCAAAGGGAACAGGCAGCAAAAGCCCTAAGGCATGGCATGGTCAAGGTGCAGCAAGGAGGAATAGCAAGGAATACCAAGTGTGGCTGAATCAGAGCAAATGTGGGGAGAGGAATAAAGCCTAAAATCAGAGAACTAGGTGGCCAGGTGGCATGCGGTCTTGGTGGCCACCAAGGACTTCTGAGTGAGATGGAGATTAGATGGAGAGTTTTGAGCAGAGAAATGACATGATGTGTTTTTTTTTTTTAATTTTATTTATTTATTTGACAGAGGGAGACACAGAGAGAGAGTGAACACAAGCAGGGGGAGTGGGAGAGGGAGAAACAGGCCTCCTGTGGAACAAGGAGACGATATGGGACTCGATCCCAGGACCCTGGGTTCATGACCTGAGCCGAAGGCAGACGCTTAATGACTGAGCCACCCAGGTGCCCCAGACATGATGTGTTTTTTTTTTTTTTTTTTAAGATTTTATTTATTTATTTGACAGAGAAAGACACAGAGAGAGAGGAAACACAAGCAGGGGGAGTGGGAGAGGGAGAAGCAGGCTTCCCGCTGAGCAGGGAGCCCGATGCAGGGCTTGATCCCAGGACCTTGGGATCATGACCTGAGCTGAAGGCAGACGCTTAACGACTGAGTCACCCAGGCGCCCCCCAGACATGATGTGTCTTATGTTTTAAACGAATCATCCTTCTGGCTGTTGCAGGAGAACAAATTGAAGGAGATCAGGGTTAGAAGCAGGCATGTAGGTAGGAGGCTACTACAGTAATCCAGGCAACACATGATGATGGCTTGCACTGAATGGTAGCATTGGTGGTAGAGAAAACTCGTTTCATTATGAATATATTTTAAAGGCAGAGTCAGTAGGATTTTCTGTCAGATTGAATGCTGGGTAAGTGATTGTTTTAAGGAGGAGAACACAATCTTACTGTAAACACCTGAAAAAGATTATATGAATACAGTGTTTTCAGAGAGGTGG